AGAGACAACCATGGCCACCAGCGCAGGGACAAAGTGGCCATGGTGAGGACAGCCAGCCTCTGGCAGTGGCAGTGTCTCACCACAGCATGGCAGCAAGCAGTGCCCCACGGAAAATGCAAAATTTTCCATTGCACTTTGGTATCAAAGAGTTACCACATTTGGGGGAGGTTTCTTTTCAATAAGATCTTTCTATTACAGGGGAAAAGTAGTTTTATAATAAAAAAATAATTCCATTCAAACTTCTGAGGAAGGCAGAGCTCAATAAAAATTGCCTTGAAAGATGTGCTCTTCTGAAACATCAGTTTTCAAACCACACTGTCAGATTTTTGAGCAGCTCTACTCAGACGCAGCAAAGGTACCCATTCCCTGTTCCCATCCCCTCAGCAGATGTACCGTTCTGCCTCTCCTTGCATGCCAGCACCCCAACAAGGGAATGAAGAAAAAGAGCAGCCTCCTGAAGACCACTATTCAGAGCAGAATTTGACTCTGTATACAGCCATGGGCTGCATATTGGCTTTCCAGCACCAGCACAGACTGTTTTGCTACAGAACCTCAAGACTTCATCCAGCTGAGCCCAGGATTGTTATTGACTGCTGCAGGCAAGCAGCACAAAGTGCTTGGCACATTTTGAGACCTGCAATTTGGTTAGACATTCAGTATTGTGCTCTGTAATCAGCAGCTAGCACTTAAGAGAGAAGCAGGACTGTGTTTAGAATGTCCATATATCACACAACTGCTAATAGCATTGCCCTGTTAGGAGGACCAGGACATTATCTTCATACTTCCAGCTATTCTGGAGCATGTAGATGTGATGTGCAGTAGCAGCAAACACTCAGGAAAGACCTTGGCTTTGATGGAAACCCCAACTTCAGGTAAGGTCAAAGATTTGCCTTCAGTGGTGGCACCTGAAGCTCACTTACCATTGAACATTTGATTTCTCAAGGTCTATCTCAGCATCTTTGAAAATAAACCGACTTCCTTGACATTCGGTATGCCATATCTTGTGCTGGGGAGGATTGTTGGCAACTCCCCCAGGACACTGGCTGAAGGGGAGAGACTATGAAAATACTGTGCAAAGATACGGCTGTCAAAACACTTCTCTGTTCGTTCTTTGGAAGTTACTCCATGTTGTGGGTTAAAAAGAAGCCAGCCAGTTCTCTGTATTCCCACACATGGCAATGTATGGTCATTTTTGGTGATGATGAACACAGTATTTTAAAGCAGTGATAGGGTTTCCACAATGACAAAACTATAATAATATCTCATGTTTATACCACACTGTCACCACTTGTAATGTATCTTACTCTGCTTTCCTCAAAAACAGTTGGAATTTGGAAATCTATTCAGCACTGATTTTAAAGATCAGATATATACTGTAGCTGTGTCCAAGCACTGCAGCTATGCCTGATTAAATTTGTAATCAAATATTTCAAACTGAATGATATTCATGACAAAATAATTCTTCTGCGATCCTCGCAGGACTTGCTCAGTGAAGCCCCATTCAGTCATGCTCAAGAAGTGAAGGATTCATTTGTCATCTGCAGAAACACTAACAGCCTCCCTCCAGTAAATGAGTAATAGCCCAAAATGAGAGAGGTAGTTCCAAAATACATAGGAAGTTGTTGTCTGGGGGAACATAACCCATGTGCTTTGGAGATACATTTGTATAGACAGAAGATAAATAAACATGCAGGGTTTTGACTAACCTTTATTCAGTACTCCAATACAGCTCATTTCCCTGCAATTGTGTTTGATAGACACACACAATTTGCTAACTCTGAAGAGAGCAATAATTTTCCCTCAGTCACTAACATCACCAAAAATGCCACCACCTACATCATTCCTCTCTAATGTAATAATACCCTGTTAAGCAAAGAGCGTTGATGATTATATTACTGCATAATGTTTCTCTAAATGAAAAGAAAGGAAAAAAAAGAAACAAGCTCCGTAACAATCAACCCACTTCTTCTGTTTACATGGCAATCAGGTGAAATTTAAATAGATATTTTTTTCTTTAAAGAAGTTGGATTCAGCTTCCCCAGCAGGGAGAGACAGATGAGTGATACCCACAGCCGGCTCCTCTGAGAAGCAGCATGCTGCTCTTCTTCTGCACTGTATCTGACCCAATCACTGCTCTGAGACCTGAGAACCTGTAGGCACAGGACCTACACCAGGCAGTGCCAAAAGAGCACAATCTGTCCAGGGCTGCCCGATCTGTTGTGGCTCCTCTAGAGGCTGACCACATCCATAGGACAGCCAGCAGAAGGGACAGGATGCCCCTACCTCTCCTCTCCAATTGTCCAGTGCATTGGCTTAGCCCCTTGGAACAGGGAAGGCTTGCATGGTGGGATGCAGCTGGAGGTGAGGTGACATGAAGCCCAGGGTAAGTGAGCACACTTCTGCCAATGTTGCTGCAGAGATGGTAACCCCCAGGAAAGTGTCAGAGTCTTAAGACCCTCATGCCAAATTCCCCACTGTTATGGAAATAAATCAGGAGATGCCCTAAAAGACAACACATTCACCAAGCAAGATGGGGCTGCCCTGGCACACTTGGCAGGTAAGTAATAAACATGCAAGCAGTGATTTTGCTTGCTCAATCCAACCTGATGCTACAGGAGCTAAGGTAGTATTTTAATTTCACCGACCATGCACAGGCTACATTAAGTACATCACACCACACATCACAGCACTCACACCCCTTTGTATCAACCTGGAAATGTTTCTCACACAGCCAGAGAATAATTTGGCAGACAGAAACTGAGCCAGGACTAGTGTGCTGTCCTGCCCCAACACCTTTAAGAGCCAAGGGGAAAGGGCCTTGCCATTGCCACTGTAGCAGCAGTATGGAAATACTGTAGGAAACCTCTGAAACAGTCTTCCCAGAAGGCAAGCTGACATTGACTTTCAGCCTGTTATAAACCTAGACAGAATTATGTCCCTTCTGATCACCCCAATGGAGAAACCTACTGAAGGACTCTCAAAGAATCCTGGAGCAGATCAGATGGCCAAGGTGACAACATGGGGTTGGAGCAACCAGCCAGCTCCCTGAGAGACAGAACCAAGCGCTCCAAACTGAGAGTGTCCTCAAGGTCCCAAACTGTCATCCGTCAACATCGCCCTTGCAAGTAGCTGTTGACAGTAAGTTAGGCAAGGATGTTTTGGATGCTGAAAATAAATCAAGTTTTGACTAAGAGATGGCCTAATTTTTGGCCTAAATTTGATGTAGAATATTCTAAAATGGGATCTTATGAATAACAACACTGGCCACACACCACCAAAACTCTGCCTTCATAATGGCCAAAAAAAAAGTGTCAACTAAGGAAAACGGAGCACTTGGATCTATTAGCAACAGTCACAGCTTCCTAGCCTAATAACAGACCTTTCTAAAAGGGACAGGCCCAAAATGAAGCCTTCAGGGATAGGATGAGAAGAGACATCCAAACATTTTTGACTCCATTGATTATTCCCTTCATTTTGCATTAATAATAAGATAACATTATTTCTGGTCACTCCCAGCAATTCCCTCAGATTTTAGGAACAGTGACATCTAGCAGAGGGGAAACAGCAAACTAACTGCTTTTTGCCACAAAACATCTCAAATTTGGGAGTGCCACTGATTGATACTGCCACAGAGCCAATATTTATACACTCACTGAATTACAGGCATGAAATTACAGAGGGTTATCACACCTGCAAAACCACAGCCAGGCTGACCTACCCAGCACCCACAGATCAAGGAGTCACTGATTTTATTCTTTCATGTGGCAGAGTCAGGAGCAGAATCAGGAGCAATGGTCACCCCAAACCACTGCTGCATCCACTGCCTGTTGGGAGCAAAGATCACGCACTTTGCAGGATTATAACTTGCAAGTGTTATGCCCCTGAGGCCTTTGTGTCTTTGCAAGCCTGACAACTAAAGCAGCCGACAAATAACCAGTGAGTCTTCCCATCAATGCTGTACTCTCACTGGAAGAATCTGTAAAGATTCAACTCTTTTTTTTTTTTTTTTTTTTTTCAGTATACATCTTATTTCAGTTAAAATGTGTGCCCCTGTTACAAATCTCACTTGCAGGAGCACTTTCTCAGCTGGTCTAAAATGACATATTAATCCCAAGGCCCATAAAATGTGCTGGATTACCCAGACTGCAGACCAACAGAGTTTCATTTTGAAGAAGGGCAACTTTATTAGCGTTTTGTTTCCAAAACTGTCCATCCCCAAGATGAACTCCCTTTGGCAAGAGGGGAAGGATTTCCTGCCCTTTGGTATGAATGAACATTTGCACCCTCATCTTTATCAGATAAAGGTCTTTGCCTTTCCAAAAGAAAATGTGAGCAAGTCTGCTGGCCCACAAAGAGCAAAGCTGGGCCAATAACTGATTTTACAACATGCAGCAGCTGATATAAAAAAAGCAAGAATAATTTATATCATTGCAAGAGCCTTCATTTCTGATTTGAACTCGTAAAGGTTTCAAGCTTTCTGGGACAGAAGGCAGCAAAAGAGAGCAAATGCAATAAAATCAAAGGGAATTTATTAAAATTAAGTTGTTCCAATCTGGAAAACACAAAAATGTCTTGCTTTGAAAATGTCTCAGACAACATTCATCTGTCAAAAAAGCTTCCCTCAGCTCAAATGATTCAAGAAAAATGATGCACCTGTAAAAAAATCTTCCAGTGCTGCTGAGTCTGTGTTAATTTTTACTTAAGAAAACAGTTTTATCCAAACCCAGGAAGACTCTTGTTTTAGTGAAGACCCTCCAATGTCTACAATATACTGTTTTTTGACATAATGACCCCTCAAAATTTTCCAGTGGATGTGCGAGTAGCAGATGTAGGCTAATTATCGATTCGCTTTTGTTACTTATTTTCTACACATGTTAAGAAGGAACCCAGAGCTCTCCCAGGGGCTGGAAAGCAGAGGTCAAAACCTCTGCTCTTGGACATAAATTAGTACCGACCGCACCATGAGAGGCAGCTGCCAGCAGCTGCCCTTCCACCCTTACCTAGCACCGGTGACGTCCACGCCAACCATCAGCTGGCCATTCAGAGAAAGGATCTCATCTTTCAGGCGCACTCTCCCACACTTCCCAGCTGGGCTGTTTTTCTTCAAGTCTGTCACCCAGATGCACCCAACGTCAAGCACTGGTCCCTTATGCCCCTTCCTCTTCTTCCCTCCCCGGCGCTTGTCCCCATAGTCCCCCAGCGCAGGGATGTTCCCAAAGCTCAAACCAAGAACCTCATTTTTTCGCATCTCCTGGGCCAGGTACATGGTGCAGATCTCCGTATCTGAAGTCCCGCAGCTCCCTGGCTGTAGTTTGCTCTCATCCACAGAGAAGTTGAGCTGGATGTACTCACTCAGCTTCTGGACAGCCGAGCGGCAGAGCTGCTGCTCAGCCCCCTCGGCCCCCTCCCGGCGGCTGTTCTGCAGCCACTGGCACAGGAGGGGGAGGAAGACCCCTGCGTTGTCCTGCGTGATGGGCATCGCTGACCCTGTGCATCCCCTCACGGCAGCAGCCCTGGCCCCAGTCGGCTCCCCAGACCTTGGATCCGTTGCCTGCTGCAGCCCCCTGCAGCCCCCGGGGCCATGATGGAGTGGGGCTGCAGATCCAAAACAAGCCCCATCTAATCTCACAGGGACGTTTTTTTGGGCTGCAACTGACCACAAGCACAGTCAAGGCAGGAAGTTTGGTGTGAACGTGATGCAGCTGGCCCCACGGAAAGGTCGGTGGGCGAAGCAGTGCAGAGCTTCTGTGGCTGTTTAGGTACACCTGCTGTCAGGGTCCCCACTCCACTGGGAACAGTGTCTCCTTCTCACCACGGCCACCACACCGTCTTGTCCTGCAAGGGGAAACAGCATGGTTAAAAGTGCCAAACCCACTGCAGGTGTCCAAGAGCCCCAGCCCAGTATCCCTCCCGGGTCAGGAACCAAAAGTCGGGCTTGCACGGCCAGAGCCACACTCCTTCTGCGATTTACCACTTGAGGGCACCAGCTGCTCTTCTCAGCAAGGGAATAAAAGGTCACCATTAGCTCCTGACCTTCCGCGTAAAACGGGGAATTGATGAGCCGTGGGGATGCTCCTGCCACAGCTCCAGGCCTGTCACCGAAGTGAAGGAGTCACTCCAGCCAAACCCACTCCAAGGACCACCGAAGGGGCATGATGCAACACAGCTCTCACCCACCACTGAAGCTGGTTGATGCCACTGCTGAAGGCAGCTCTGCCCTCCTCCATGCCAGTGTTTTTGGGCTAGGACAGGTTTAATCTGGTCACTTCTCTGATTTAGCTCCCCACCAAGCTGCAGAAGGGATGAGCAGCAGCAAACACAAAGGGTGAGGACAGGCAATGGGGTCCCTCCTCTTACTGCCGGCAGTGGCTCACAGTGTGGACTAAACCTACCCTGCAGGCAAAGCATCTCAGGGAGGTGACTACCTAGTTCCCTGGGACAAGAGTTGTTCAGGTGAATTCCAGTTTCATGCAATTTGGAGAGGAAGGTGCACAGGCAAGAGCTGGGGTCAGCAAGCAAGAGCGTGAGACAGGGTTTTTATCTCGGACAATTAGGATCTATGAAACAAAGTAAAACCCTGAGCTGAGTCAAGGCTGGTGGATCAGTTTCTTTTTGAGAGTTACTTTCTAGCAGCCTCTCCTGCATGTCTGGGTGCAAGGCTTGAGTTAGGCTGAAGAGGCTGTAGCGATAACCTGCAACCCCAAGAGCACAAATACGAAGGGAGACCCTTGCGAAATGCTGCTGCCCAGAAGCTGGATCCAAAGTGTACTGCCACCTCCCTGGCTATGTGGCACTATCTAGATGGACAGGACTGACCCCGAGAAAGCTCAGGCAGGGACAGGGACAACACATCAGGGCCTTCCATGATGCTCCTAGGAGGATCTCAGCACCTTCACCACCAGGGTGATGTTGCACCAATGGCTGAACAGGGATGGGCATCAGCTCAGGAAAGGAGGAACTGGCCCACTGCTTAGTGAGAGGGACTTCTGGGTTAGGGTCAGTGTAGGAGACACGGGGAACAAAACCAGAGGAAAGGATAAAGGCAGAAGCAGCCTGAGCACAGGTCTAAAAAGAAGGGGTGATAATACAGTCACAGATTGACCAGGAAATAGGATTAAATCCTCTGAATATCATAGATATTTAATGCAACATCAGTGAATACATTGCTTTTAACACAGAACTTAGGTCTTATTTAAGATCTCAGATTTAATTTTAGAAAAAAGTGATGATTTAACTGACATAACTGGAACTTGTAGTAAAACACAGATCTGGAATACAAAGATGCATAGCTTATGTATGGATGGGCAGAGAAAAAGTAGAGGCAGCATCTCTTGGTATACCAAGGATGATGCATACACTTGCTCTGAGATCCACAACATTCCAGGAGGAAGAACTGCTAAATTCTCTGGTTAATAATAAAAGGAAAAAAACAAAAAACCAAAAAAACCTCAACAAAAACCAACATGCTGAAGAGTACAACAAACCCCAAACCAAGAAGATGAAATGGATCAGGCTATGTGATAACAACTGATTCAATGGTAATGGGAGGGTACAAGCATGAGATATGAGTAGGAAAGGAAAGCAGCAGGAGACAAAGTCCTGGAACCTTCAGAGCAATATTCTCACATAACTGCTAGGTCAAGTAATCAGTAGGGAAGTGCCTCCAGAGAGGGATGAGTTGGGGTTAAGAAGGCGGAAGGACACTTGTGTAAGAGTGCCTGTGAAATGATGAGATCTGCCATACACAAGGGATTGGATACAACGAAACAGAAATGCCTGGCTTCAGTATGTCAAAAAAACCTGCTGGCAAAAATTCATGGAGAAGAGTTTAAAGGAAAAACAAATGAAGGTGAGCTGTAGTTTCTCAAAGAAACAATATTTTGTGCTTAAAAGGCACAGGCACAATAACATCTCAATGCAGAAGGATCAGAAGACTTGGGAGCATCACAGGCCTTTCATTTACCTCAAAGACAAGAAGAAAGACCACTAAAAGGTTACTGAGCAGGAGTTTAAAAAATAGTGTGAACACACAGGCAGAAATATTAGACACATCAGAGCACAAAAATGAATTTAAACTTGTAGAAGATACCAAAAAAAAAAAAAAGTTATCCTTCATATGTATATTAATACCAAGAAGACAGTCTGGAAAAGTGTTGCTCCAATAGAGAGAAAGTTATTGAAAGATTACACCTTAAGAGGAACGCTGGTTTAATTTTTGCTTTAGCCCTTGTTAAAACTGCCTACTATGCACAGGTAATTAGTACAGCAATGACACATTATCACTGCAGGAATACTATCCTTTTCCTGTTCCAGGGTGAAATCAGTACTCTAAGTCAGGTATTTCCACGCCAGCAGGGTGGGACAAACCACCTTTTAAACTCCCTACAGAACCAGCTGAAGCCATCTCAGATACCTGCCTCCAGGTCACCTGTGAGAGCTCAGACAGGTAAGGTGCCAGAAGTCATGACAAAGACAAGCCCTAGTCTTCAAGGGTAGAAAGAGAAGCAGCAAAAGCATGCTACGCCAGTCAGTCCCATCTTCAATCCTCTTAAAACTTTAAAACAAAGAAACAGTTTGCATGTATGTGGAAGATAACAAAAATATAAGCAGCAGCAGATACAGAAGAGACAAGAAAAAAACATATCAAATCGAATTAATTTCTTTTTATAATGGAAAAGTTGTAAGATGTCATTTATCTGGGATTTATTATAGCCTTCCACACCATCTCAAACAACTATCTCATAAATATACTAGGGAAACATGATTAAATGAGTCCACTATAAAGCCATACCCAGGGAGTAGTTATTAATGACATCCTGCGAAAACAGAAGGATGCTGTGAGCAGAGCTCTGCTGGATCTATATAGTCTAGTTCTGCTCAGAACATTCATTAGTGACCTGGACGATGAAAGAGAGCACACTTATTAAATCTGAAGATTACATGAAGCTGGGAGTGACTACAGACACTCTGGAGAACAGGATTAGCATCTAAAACCATCTTGGCAAAAATCAAAAACATTGTCTAAAAATTAGGATGAAGTTCAGGAAGGACAAGTGCAAAGTACTACAAACAGAATTTCACACATAGATGGGTTGGCTAGGTATCAAACCTTCAGGAAGAGATGCAAGGATTGTAGTGAATCATGCCTGTCAATGAAGTCTTGCTTTTGAGGGGAAAAAAGGGTCATTGTCCCAGGGTCAAAGCCTACCAGGCGTATGAGGTATCTCTGTACCCTCACACCGAGCTGGGAAGGTCTCAACAGGTCTCAAAATTGCCCAGTTGGAGCAGAGGTCTGACATGGCTACCAGTCTAGAAAATGTGACTTATTACGAAATACTCAATAAATTAGGGCCTGCTAGTCTAAAACGGAGGAAGCATTGCAGGTGGGGTGTGAGAACACAAACTAGATGTTCTCATGTACTTCAAAATGTCTCACAGTTACCACTCACAGGAGGAAAACAGCAGTCTATTCCCCTTGCCCGTGGTAGAGTAAAGGATGTGAATCACACCAGGGTAGGTTTAGGTTAGCATTTAGGTTAACACTAATAAGGATAAAGAATACCAAAGTACTGGAGGACACTGTCTTGGGTGACTGGAGTCTCCATTACTGATGTTCTCTGAAGCGGGTTAGACAAATACCTGTCAGGAGCAATGATTAGAATAAATATCTTGGGCTGTGGGAGAGAGTAGATCTCTCCATTTCAAACCCTCTTACTTTTTTCCCTCCAGCATAATTTTCTGTTAGTGAGAGCACTGTGAGATGTCATATATTGGTAACATCTAGTGAATTATGACAAAGACCCCCTTTTCACTGCCTGAACAGCAAACGTCGGTACAGCTCCTAGTAACCACACAGGGTTCAAAACTATTTGAGCTCTACAGGTGATGAGACTATCTGAGGCACTTTTTTGCCTAGCAATTTAAGGAGTTATGCTCTTAGCTGGTTAATTTTGACATTGAGTGGACATGTTATGGGCTGCTCTTTGCAAACCATCCCCAGCCTCCAGCCTGGAGAACTTGGAGCTCCTTGAAAGCAGCTCACAGTTTTAGCTCCAGAGTCTCCAAATCTCCTCTGTGTGGGCCAAGGGCACAACTTGATCTTGACTTCAGCTTCAATCCTGCAGTTAGGATGGGTCGTGAAGAGGCATCTGCATCCCACAAAAAACTCATCCCTCATTCATTTAGTGACATTCCTGGAGGGGTCTTCCATGCACACACATCCCTCCAGAGGTAGAGGATGACAGCCTGCTCCACCCTGCCAGAGCTAGGCAGCCTTCAAAACCCCGTTCCTCCTCCCTGCAGGAGAAACTGCAGGCATCATACACTGTGTGTTGCCTGTCTATGCCCCTGAGCTCACTGCAGAGCCATGGCAGACACTTAAGATAATCATGTAAATAATTATACAGTACTTTCAAGGGATTTGATTTTCTCAAAGAAAATGTTCTGGCTTCAGAAAAAAGACTCTTGACAAGCATAAATAGGAAATACTCCTTCCAGAAGAAATAGGTGGCAGAGCACTGAGCTGAACACCTCTGTGCTGGTGAGAAGAGCAGCTCGGGCTGTCCAATGCCAATAGGAGCAAAAAATAGAAAGGTGGTAAATTGTTCATCAAGGGAAAAAAAATAGATCTGCCTGTTAAAAATAGCAAACTCAAACCTAAGATGAAATTGATTTTTGCTCTTCACTTCCACTGAAATAGATTCAAGACCCACGTGAGAAAATTTACTGGAGTTGCTACCACCTTACTTTCTGTAGGTGACAGACCTGCCAAACCATCTCACTGCCTCTCATGGAGTACAAGACTTATGTACAGAAGACTGATTTTGTGCCCACCCTGGCA